TAAAAATGTTTCTTTATGAAATTCTTTATGGGTCTCTTCTGGTGTACAGTGAAACTATTATTTTAGTTTTACCTGATTCATAGGACTTTGTGAAAATGTGCTTTGGTAGAAATATTGTTTATTTTTAAGAAATTATAAATCTTTTAAAATAACAGTGGTATTTTAAAATAGATACTTCAAATTCTTTTTCTTCCATTCTGGGCATTCCCTGCTTCTATGGTTTAAGCCAAACCCAAAATAAACCTTTTAGTTTATGCTATTAAGATTCAACTTGTAAAAGGAAAACAAAGTCAGACAACATAAGTTATAAAGTTAATATAATTTAAATATATTAGTCTACTGGGAAAAAATTCTAATTGTGAAGACTATTAAATAGAAATATTTTTAATCTTTAGGCCACAGAAGTCAGTCTTACCAATGTCAAGAAGTTCTAGTCATATAAGATAGATTCAACAACATCTCTATGATATTTTAAAACAAATAAAAATATTTTTTAATTTGACATAGATGATGTTTTTTAGGGCTGAATGACAAACATGACCTCAGCTAACCTCAATCATTTTGGTTGTCTAAATAAAGACTATAACAAAATTGATTTGATTCCTTAATTATAATTTATTGAAAGGGCAGCTACAAAGTTTCACTTATTCTTGCTATGGTCACTAAAGCACAAATATTTTTGTGCTCGAATACCAATCTATCAATAGCTACCAACTGTAAAACCAGTCTTTAGTTTTTCAACGTCAATATAATTAACTTGAAATATATTTCATTATCAAACTAAGTTGTAAAAGTATATTTTCAAACAAATCCAAAACTTATTTTTATTTATAGAAACAAGCCAACACACAGTAAAATTAAGGAAAAAATACACTAGTTGTTTCAAATAGTACCACAAGCTATTTTTTCTGTGAAGGACCAAATATTAGATATTATCACAAAACATTTTAGCACCCACTCAAAATAAGAATCATTCAATTGGCCCCAGAAAAACACACTGAAATTATTTTACATAGCATAATAAGCAAGAGGATATAGAACACTTGAAAAACAGCTCCAAAAAATGGAATACTAAAGATGTAACATTAATTCTTAGTTCATTTGTTATGGTAATGAATTAAAGCATTATAGAATATATTTAAGTCAGAAATTCTGTAGTATGAAGACAACTACCTTGATGTGTGAAAATACTATTTTACATTAATAATAATTATTCTGGTATTTAAATCAAATTTATCCTCAGATTTTCTTTCCTGAATTTGTTACTAACAATTTAACCCTGGAACACAAAAATATTTTATTCATTCTATAATAGTTTGTTTTAATTATTATTTAGAATATAAATCAATGGGCCGGGCGCGGTGGCTCAAGCCTGTAATCCCAGCACTTTGGGAGGCCGAGGCGGGTGGATCATGAGGTCGAGATATCGAGACCATCCTGGTCAACATGGTGAAACCCCATCTCTACTAAAAATACAAAAAAAAAAATTAGCTGGGCATGGTGGCGCGTGCCTGTAATCCCAGCTACTCTGGAGGCTGAGGCAGGAGAATTGCCTGAACCCAGGAGGCGGAGGTTGCGGTGAGCCGAGATCGCGCCATTGCACTCCAGCCTGTGTAACAAGAGCGAAACTCCATCTCAAAAAAAAAAAAAAAAAAAAAAAAGAATATAAATCAATGTAAAAATGTGGGTATATACATACACAAATACGTAAAAACGGGCATTTAATATTTAGACATAATAACATGACATACTACAGGTCACATATACATTTTAATTTATTGTAATTTAGTATGCCTAATAATTATGTTAAAACAATATTCTTAAAATGCTTATGTATACAATGGAACCATACAATTTGTGTGATTTGAACCATTTACATTGTCTTAGGCACTCAAAAGAAAAAACTTTCTTCTGAATAGTGCTTAAATTTTGGCTCAAACTGGCTGAGGTCCAATTCTAATCAACAGTCATTCTCTAATACTCAAGGTCCTCTGTTACTTATGATTCCAAATGTTGCCAATGACAGAGTGGTACCAAAAGGGTGCATGGAGGGGGTGGGCAGGGATACAGTGGCTGCTTCTGCACTTCCAGAACTAGCATCCCAGACATCCCTGTCCTGGGCTTACTCTAAATAACGCTATTGCCTCCAATGTGAATATCCATAAGGCTCCAATTAACATGGGTTTGTCTAATCTCTGATATTTGGGGTGAAGGATTAGGTTTAATTTCTCCCTAATTGGCATCTAACTATATTTTAGGTACAGTCAAACTCTGAAGCCATAATTTAACACTCCAAAAGTCCAATTAAGTTACAAAAATATAGGCTTTAGAGTCTGAAAGACATCAAACTTTAACTTAATTGGGTTTTTTCACTTGTGTAACAACAGATAAAAGTTGTGTTTCTTAATCATTAGTGGTTGTCCATTCTAGAAACTGTAGTAAGCTTGGCAGAGTCCTGTGTATCACTAAGATTGCTTAGTATTTTTTCTCTAAAACCACACCCTTCTCTCAATCATGGCATAAGACTTCTTGGATGATGATGGAAATTCTATATGTAGAACAAGTATGTAATTAACCCAAGAATTTCACTAATTTCCTTCACAACTGTGTTCCAAATGAAATTTCAAAATAAAAGCCTAGTAGTTTTACACCTTAAAATATACACTCCAAAATTAACCCACTAAGCACTTAATAATGCACTCTAAATTGTTTCTTTACCATCATCAGTTAATATTCATCAAATGCCCAATAGACTGGTTTCTCCCTATTTATGGATATTTTTTATGTATGACATTCCTAATAATCACAGAGGCATTAAAATTGTATTCTTGCAGGATCTTCCCACTGCTAACTGTGAAAAATAAAGCACTGCAACACATTTTTTCTTGACTGTAAGCTGTCATTTTGGCATAATATCTCAGGTCTTCTTCTCTTTGGTCAAGAAAAGGAAAACTTCCCTTCCCGAATACTTTTTCAGTTTCCCTTCTTCTGAAATAGACAGGCAGGTAGTTTCCTTCCCATTTGAAATATTGTTTTGAGATATGTGAATTCCATTTCTGGGTACATAACATTGAGAAAATTTAGCAACCAGACAGATGAAACTTCTCAGCCTAAACCGCGGAGACCACATATTTGCCTGGTGTAGAACCAGCACCCAGATCTTGTGTCTCTCCAGCCCATTTTCTCTATCTCACCTCTCAATACATTTAAAAGGAGAAAAATACAGCTGGGTAGATTGATATGAACTTTTTTTGAGAGCTGTTCTCAGAAATAACATTGAAATTAAATTGTTTTGCTAGGGGGTATATATCAACACTTTGAAGCAGGGTCTATAGGTTCTGAGGTTCTTACTTTGGAAATGGATTTAGAAAAAAAAATGGATTCATCTTAGTTCCAAACCAAAAGGCTTTAGTTTCTGAACTATCAAAGAGTTGTCAAAGCACTCAGTCTTAGAGTGCCAGGTTACTGAAATACTGCTCTAATTCAAATAATAATTTAATTAATTTAGTTGATGGCTTATATTGGACAGTACCCTTTAAAAGACAGATTTGTTATTTTTGAAGAGAAGAATTTGAAAACCTAGGGGGCTAATCTCTATAAAGCGTTTGGAAACATTTTTTGGGGGCGTATCAATACAGGGAGCCAAAGGGCTGAGAATTTCGAAAGACAGGAGAATGAAGAGGAGTGAAGATTTTGCTTCCAGGTTCTCACAGTGCCATCCAGTTCTCATTTTCTTATCTACAAAGTTAAAAAAAGAAACTCAATAATACTATTAAAAGCAACTATGACTTTCTCTCAGGGATGCAAAAATATTTACGATGTATCCTCAAATCATTGCATGATCTCTAAGAAGAAGCCAGACAAAATAGCTAGAAAAAAAACCACTGAGTTTCATTAATGAAAAATGTAATAACAGCAAAGTGGTGTAATTGATCTCTGTTTAAAAATGAAAAAAACTGATGCTCATAGCTGGTTTTGATCTACCTGCAGTCAAAGAAAAGTAAGTTCTACATTTAAATTGGAAAACTTTAGTCAGGCAGGAGAAGTCAAGCTGCGTGGTCAATGGAAATTCTGTCCAATGAATCAGCAGATCTATATTTAAATTTTAGAATTGTATATGCCAGCCATGAAATGAACCAATTCTAGTTAATGAAAAATAAACTGGAAAACATCTGTGCAATTTTGGAGATCCCAAGGCTATAATACAAGCAACTGCTAGCATGTGTATAGTACTTTGTTATTTATGAAGTTCTTTTTACGTATTTCATTTCATTTCATCTTCACAACAACCTTGTGAGGTAAGTGTTATTAACCCCATTGTAAGTCAAAAAAACAGAGGCTTTATATGTGCTTAAGAAACTTGCCTAAAGTCAAGCATTTAATAATGAAGGAAGCCAGTCTGGGCACAGAGCAGTTCTCTTTCCATCTGTCACTCATGTCCGAACCCTGTCTCATCTCTGCTTTGCAAGTGTCAGATGAGTGAGAGATTAGAAAGACAAAGCTACTTTTAATTAAATATGTGAGGACATTTTATATCCTGAGTCACTCTTTAGGATACTCATACAATGAATCTGAATTCACCAAACCTGAAGATGATCTTGTTCATATCCAACATAGCACAGAATACCCTTACAACACTGATCAACATATGGTTACAAAGTTCAAGAGAAAGTCTACAGAATATGGTAAGCAATCCTTTTCTACCCTTTTAATAAAATCTGGCTTACCTCATACAAATCTGACTATAAATCAACCTCACAATAGGGGAAAAAAGATATTTTTGGCCAGTCAACAACATTTCCTTTCACCTTCAGCATCTTAGTAATCGTGCTTTCCTTGACCAATAATATGTGAAGATCTGAAAGGAGGGCGCCACTGGTTATAAAATTACCATTTTGAATGCAGGGTAACTGGTAGTTTCTAACAGAACTTTCCCCTTTCATTCTGCACTGGCTACCTCCTGCTCATTATGCCCAGATACTCGTGCCTCTTGGAGGTGCCCTCTCATCTCCAGGACACCGTTTAAGGCTGCATTTTCTGATGCACAACTTAATTTTATTGGATGAAAACATAATTTCTCTGAAGTTTTCTCTGAGTACTAAGGCTGATGATTACCTCTTTTTGTTCAGAACCAGTGCTGTACATTACATGACTTTTAAACCAAGCAAGTCTTATTTACATTAGAAATGAAAAGAAAAGATACCAATAACAAAATATAAAGCTAGGGTGGTTATGCTTTTTCCTTTAAAAGTATAACTTCTGTTATATTTCCAGGAGTTAGACCTGCACATTTTAGTGCAGCATGTTTTCATTAATATTCTGTATAAAATAATGTATAGTTTTTGGTAGCAAGGTGAAAACGCAACTAGAAATACAGTCTTGTTCCCAATGAATTGATTTATGGTTATATCAATAAAGTACATTTTTTCTTGTGATTTCTAGCTCAATTCAGCTAATGGGCCAAAAAGTCAATCCCAAGAGTCAAGTTGCATGAACTCAAGACTCAAGTTGAAACAGGAATGAATTTGATGGACTTGGAAGATTTAGGTGAGTCCTTCCATGTACCCGTACTGTTTGTTGGGCTTCGGTTGTTAGAGTAAAAAGTCTGTTTCCTGCTCATACTGTCAGTATCTTCTTTGTTGAATCTTTCCTTCAAGTTTTGGCAGCACAGGAAGCTTTGAATACAGTCTTGAAGGAGATGGCCACTAAAAAACATGTATATCCAGGGATTGCAGCAGCTATTCAAGGAAGCCAGTAATGCAGTGATGGTGACGGTAGGGTTTTCCGATTCTGCATAAAAAATATAAAGGGAAATTATTTAATGTAAGTAACTGAGCCCTGGATGAACTCATTTTTCTATTAACTAATTAAAAAGGAAAAACATTCTAGATTAGCAAAGAAAATGAACTATTTCATTTATCAATCAGGGAAACTAGGAGTGTTTGAAAATTGCTTGACTATAAAATATTTTTGTAAGCAAGATACCTTAAAATTAATGCAAGTATTTTCAAAACACTATCAAAATATTTGAATAGGATAAATGGGACTTTTCAGCGGTTACATCTATTAAATAGTTCATTTTTTAAAATCTGTATTTTCTATACTCAAACTGTGCTAATGAGCACAGCAGTTACTGAATGGCTACAATTTTAATGAAATATTAAGAGTCCGTAATAACTATGTATACCAAATTATATTTATCCTAATAACTCAGGAAAAAATATGGCATTAGGGATCAAGTTTAGTAGTTTTAAATATCCTTGTAATGTGAAAACTGTACAGAAGTCCCTGGATCATATAAGCTTTAGTTGTTATTTTTTGGTTAGAAATTTGGTTTGATTTGAAAAGAAAGCCGTCTGTAATTGTGGTTCAAACAAATTATATTAAGATGAACAGCAGAATTAGGAAATTCCAATAAGATTCTAAAATATTTTATGATAATTAGCACTGGAAAACTGCACAAATATTATAACCTTTCACAGTGGAGCTACTGTGCTGATAATATACCTTTTCTAAAAATAAGAATAATCAATAAACACCAACTTTTCCTTGATTATTACATATAAACTTGGATCTTCTTACTCTTTTTATGCCAGAAAACAATTACAGGTTATTATTTAATTATATTTTGTGCTAAGATGCTGCTTTCAAAAGTGATCAGGAGCCATGGGTAAGACAGTGTTCACAAAGAATGAAAATCACCAACCTATCTATGCACAAGTGAAGTTTTTATTACTTGTGTGTAAATCCTGCTAACGCAATAATTAGACTGAATTTCTTTATTTGATTGGCAATATTAAGAGGCTTCTAAGATCAAGCAAGATAATAGTAAACCAGAAATAAAGTGTTTCTATTACATTTTTTATTAGGGCTAATATTATAGTCTGTAAGAATATTTAAGTTAAATTCATATGGAAATGTTTTATTTGCAAATATAACTTCCAAAGCATATTACATACCTCCCCTACTCCAATTCCAAAAAGTGAAAGGGGAGACAGCTACTCCCAGATACCTATTTCCTGTTACCAGAAACATTCTGATAACAACCGTGCCATTGGAATTTATTTGGTTTGAGTTTCAACAAGCATTGAAATTTATTTGGTTTGAGTTTTTGTCTTTACTAGAAGAAAATATTTTCAAGATGCAAAATTAAATATATATATATATATATATATATATATATTTTTTTTTTTTGCAAGTCACCACGAAGTTAGTTTTTCTAGTTTGGGAAGAAATTAAAAGCAAACACAGTAGTAGGTGTAGAGAACATTTCCAGTAAACTACTGTAAGAGTTATATGGAGACATGTAGAGCTGTGTGGTCAAATTAGTGGTAAAAGACTAATAAGTCAGTCTAACAAATTTAGATTATCAATTATCCTGCTTTGAAATACCATGAAAAAAGTGTTAAAGTAATCACTGTTAGAAAAAAATAGATCATAATGAGAAAGGAACATTATTAGCTAAATGCCAAATTGGAATTGCTCAATTTCTAAAGAGTCTTTCTCTAGCTTTCTTTAGAAACATATGTCTGTTTCTCTACTTGCCCCTGAGGCATTTCTACATGATTTAAAAAATTAATTGTAGTACATTTCACAGTCCAATAAAAAGCAGTTGAGACAGTAAAAGTATTTCCCTGAATCCAATAGACTTGAAATGGTATTAATACAGTAGCTAGTGATTTGGCAGAAAGTCATTATTCGTCGTAATTGCCTGGCTGACTCTAAGACACAGTTTCTGGAATTACGGTCTTAGCATCATGGCACACTACAAATGCAGAGTCCTGGGCCCTATTCCAGACATTCTTAATTAGAATGTCTGTGTGGGGAATCCAGAAATTTGCTTTTCTTTTTCCTAACAGTGTTCCTCTAAGGTGCGACTGTATGTACACACAGAAGTTTAAAAACTACTGCCCTAGAAGATACAATGAAAAGAAATGCTGTATTCTCCACACACACACACACACACACACACACACGCACATACACATCTATCCCTGTACTTTCCTCTATTTTCCCGGCACGTACCAGTCCAGACGGACTTGGCATCCCAGACAGACCACATCTGGATGATGAAAAAAGGTGCCCAGCAGACGATGTAAGCCGTCACGATTACAAAAGTCATCTTCACCGTGCGGATCTTGGCGCGGGAAACGGACTTCACGCTGCTGACACAGGGCGCGAGCAGGAACCCCTTTTGGAAGGCACCACCCGCTTGCTCTGCGCCCTTGCTCTGGCGCGACGCGGTCTTCCCGCGGACGTTGCGCCAGATGTTGTAGCAGATGAAGCCGTAGCAGGTACCCAAGATGACCACGGGCGCCACGAAGATGCCGCCCGTCATCCAGGTCACGTAGGCACGGGGACCCCAGGGCTGGATGAAGGTGGCCCAGCAGTCGCGGGCCTTGGTGACGTTGTTCACCTCGATCACGGAGAAGACGAAGTATTGCGGCGTGCTCAGCACGAAGCTCAGCACCCAGGCGGCCGCTATCATGAGGCGCGAGCGGCGCGCGGGCTGTTGCAGAGTCTTGAGCGGGTGGCACACGGCGATGTAGCGGTCTGCCGTCATGACGACCAGCATGTAGGCGGACGCGAACATGCCGAACACCTGCAGGTGCTTCACCACGCGGCACAGCCAGTCGGGGCCGCGGAAGCGGTAGGTGATGTCCCAGCACAACTGCGGCAGCACTTGGAAGAAGGCGACGGCCAGGTCGGCCAGGCTGAGGTGTCGGATGAAGAGGTGCATGCGGGACGTCTTGCGCGGCGTCCGGTGCAGCGCCAGCAGCACGCTGCTGTTGCCCAGCACGGCCACCGCGAAGGTCACCGCCAGCACGGCGATCTCCAGTTTGGCTAGCTCCTCGTTGCGCACGTCCTTTGGCGGGCCGTTACCTTCTCCAGAGGGTTCGGTCTCCTGGCTCGTGTTGGCACCACCGGTGACCAAAGGCCACCATGGGCTGGAGTTGCCCGAGGAGCCCGCGTCGGGGCCGGGGGAGAAACGCATGCTGTCTAAGCAGCGCCTGCTCGCCTTCCTCGGAGCCCCAGCTCTCGCGGGACGCTCCCTCCACGCCTCGCAGGACTTGGGCTCCTCGCCTCGTCCTCGCCTCCGACGCGCGCTCGCCGCTGGCCGGGCTCTGCGAATCCTCCAGCGGGCGTCTCCCAGAGCAGCGTCCCGCCTGCCCACGGAGCAGCTCTCAGCGGGGTGAGCCGGCCCTTCTCCCTGCTCTACCTTTTTTCAACTTTAGCGAAGTCGGGAAGGTGCGCTCTGAGCTTGCGGAAGCGCTGGGTTCCCAGCTCAAGTATTTATGCCGTGCTTGTTTGCTCAGGATTCGCTCCCTCTCGCTCTAGCGGCGGAAGACTGCTGGTTGCCTGGAGTTGTTCTCCCTGGAGTTGTTCTTTTTTTTCCCTCTCCCTACGTCGGTGTTTGTCCTCTTTGCATCACTGCTGCGGGGGTGGAGCTGGGAGACTTGCTGATTCCTCCGCACAGTAGGCGGGATCGTGGCGCCTTCCTGCTCTTGACTTCCAAATCTTGGACGTGTCATGCCTTTTCTGGGCTCATGGCCTTTTCCTCAAGCTTGCCTCACTAGCCTCTTTAACCGTGCATTTGGCTTGAACAGGCTAAGCGCAGGGCCTGGAAATCTCCAGTCCGTGCACCGGTGCGCGAGCACTCGACCTCACCTCCTCCAGTGCGGGTTTCTTCCTCCTCACCGAGCTCATCCTGGTGCAGCTAGTCTGGCAAATTTTATTCCCGAGGCAAATTTTCCCGGGACAAACATTTCTCCCCACTCCCCATCTGCGGAGGAAGAGCGGTGCGTCCTAAAGGGCTATCTCTTCCTAGTAAAGTCTTCGATGCATGCTGTTCGTTACCTTGTGTTTGCGACGGGAAGAACACGCTCATCACATTGCAGCCCCAGGGGCTGCTGTGCTGGTATTCACAGCGGGCGGGGGTGGGGGGAGAGTGTCTCCTTGGGGCCTAGGGACTTAGGGAGTTTTCTCTAGATTCCTGGCGTTTTCTGCGGGAAAAGCCCGATTCCCATAGCGGGGATAGCGGAAATTTGGCCGTAGTAGTCCCTGGGGACCGTCTGGTTACTACTGAGTCGTGGGGACATCTTTTGGGGTGGACAAATAGCAGCTGCCGGACAGCGGTGACCCAGGCAGTGCTGTCCAGGGAAAAGGACAAAACCCGCCAGGCTCCTGCGTTCAGGAGTGAGAAAGAGCAAATGTCAAGAGAGAAAAGAGGCCCTCAGAAGGAGGAGAAACCACCGCTTACCTACGAATTCCTTACTCTGAACAGCTGGAGCCTCTCTGCAGGGCCGGAGGGAGGCGGAAATCCTATTTCCCTCAGCTCGGTGTTAACTTCGGGGAGGATATGCCTCGAAGGACGGCAAGAGGGAGCTGTTTTCAGGCTAGTTTACAAAGAAGGAAGAAAAGAAGCACTTCATGCAGTTATCTACCATGCAGAGTCAGGAGCATGACTTTGTTGGTCAGAATGTTTCTGTATTGCGGCGGTGGTGTAAGTTTGATTGTCTCAGAAAAATATCACCCTCTGTGAAATGTAGGCACAAAATGCAAAAGGTCTTATTCTTTGTAAGTTCTCAGTAATAATTTCACTTTACTATCCAGTTCATTCTTGCAGAGTTACCAAGGTTGTCACGTTAAAATGCTGGACTTGAAATCTGGAGTCCTGCTTCCTGTAGCTATATAATCCTGGGCCTGTGTGTCTTGAAAATAGTAATGAAAGGACTTGCCTTTCCTGTTTATGAGGTCATTGGGAAGATCGAGTTAAGGCACTGTTCTGTTTGGGGAAAATGCTCAAAAACTGAAAGCTGTGTTGGTTCATTTTCTCTAAGATATCCAGGAGGCAAAGTTTAAAAGGGTTCAAGGATGGTGGATAATATGTAAAAGGTTTCCAGGCCACCTGTCTGGAAAAATCCTTCAAGCAGTTAGGTAATAGTCACTAACTCAGACAGGTGACCTTCCTTTAAGTCACAAATTACAGTATTAGTGCTTCTGATGAGAAAGAATGTTGACTGAACTTAGTGTCTAGGTATTGCAAAAGTGATCTGTTGGCCACAGTCTAGTTTTGTGACTTGAGCTTTTAGGTTTTTTTCAGGAGAGGAAATCTGTAATACAGGCCCACCAAAATTTCTTTGCACGTTCTTATTCCAGGAGATGGAGTGGTAGCTGCTCAGAAAATCATCTATATCCGACAATCTGATCCAATCATGAAACTATATCCAAATGTCCAATTTATAAAAATAACTTCTCAAGTTACATTGGTGGATACACTTGGAAGATATTATTGTTCACTGACAACAGCACCAATTACCCATATATATCAAATGTATATATGATTAATATATAGGTGTATGTGTATATGTATGCATCTGGGTATTCTATCTATTATTATCAATCTATCAATCATCCATCTATCATGGGGCCTAGAAAGCGGGAAGAAAAAGTTCACTACAGATTGTAGAACCAGTCCCTTTTTTAACCCATATAGTTTTAAACATGTCTCTGACTTAATCTAACTGGTTCTACGTGCAAAGAAAAGCAGGACCATTACAATATAGACTCACTACTCATGTACCTCACTGGACTTGCTATTAAAGTTACCCCATGGAGAGTAAAGTAATCATGGTCTTAAAATATGAAAAAAGAAAACACCACAGACAATATTTTATGTGGCATCTTGTGCTTTTTCACAGAGCAATTCACATTTTCTCTCTACTTTTTATATTATTAAGACTTATCTTTTCCCTCTTACTCTTTGTAGATTTCAGTTAACATATTTTAGGGCTGAAATAATGGAAAAAGTAGTGAAGTTGTGCATACATATCCTGGAATAATCATTCTCTTTCATTTCTCTTTTCATGGAAGCAGCTACTTCCTTCACTTACTAGCTATAAGACTCTGTTTTCATCTTTGAGTTTCAAATTCTTCATCTGTAAAATCTTGGTGATAAAACAATGCAGTTACTGCAAGGATTATATAAATGGTTGTTTAAATTTCTGTCATTTTATCAGTGTTCAAAACATTTTCTTTTTTTCAGGTATGTAAATCCTCCACATTACCTGCTGTTTTACCATTAACATTTTCCCTTCCAATTAAAGCAACCTATTTCCACTTTACATATGTGCAATGAGAACAGTTTCATGGTTAAATATGTTGGAGAAGTGCTATGTATGCATTCCATCCTCTCCTGGTGGTTTATGCATAAAAAGGATCTGAGAAATTTCAGAAAAGAAACTCACTTAACCTTGTTCATCAATGTTTTCCAAGGTTATTTCACCATGGAAACCCCCATTCTTTTACTTTCACCATGGAATGGTGATGAACATGTCACAGGACAAGGTGAAAAGCAGGAGCACCACCATCTTGGACAAGCACTGCCATTTTAAAGTTAACCTTGAACAAAAACTGCCTAAATCTAAAGGGCATCAGGCTAATGGCTAAGGCCAGCATGACCATAAACCACAAATGACGTCTCTGACCAGAAACATTCCAAACCCTTCCCTGACCAGAGACATGTCAGCCCCAAGGTAACCTCCCCTCTGATCAGAGACAGTTCCACCCTGCAATAGACTTCTCCCCTGTACAGAAACATTCCAAGTCTGTGATAAGTTTTCTTACTCTAAACCAATAAATACTCTTAGTCTGTAAGAGAGAATGCCAAAAATCAGCCAGAAGCCCCTCTCATGTTTATTCTCCAAAATAAACTTGTTTTTGACTGTTGAGCCACTTTTTGTGTTTCTTTCTTCTTTCTTTAACTCTTACACAAGGGACACAGTTTGAGGATCACTGAGTAAAGGTAATTGGAATCTGGAATGCTTGGGGACCACCACTGGACTAAGTCAAATGAAGTTAGATAATCAAATCAAGTTTAACCTACTCTTCTAACAGCAAGGAAGCCCAAAGTAAAAGGTTTGTGTTTAGTTATTGTTGATGAAAAGAGCAAACTCTGTAAAATATTTGAAGAGATTTATTCTGAGCCAAATATGAGTGACCAATGGTTTGTGACACAGCCCTTGGGAGATCCTGAGAACATGTGCCAACAGTGGTTGGGGCACAGCCTAGTATTATAAATTTTAGTGAAACATAAGACATCAATCAAATACATGTATAATGTACATTGATTTGATCTAGAAGGGTGGGACCACTCGAAGTGGGTGGAATGGGAGAGGTTTCAATTCATAGGTAGATTTTAAAATTTTCTGAATGGCATTTGGTTGAAAGAGTTATTATCAATAGAAAGGAATGTGTGGGTTATAATAAGGGATTATGGAGACCAAGGTTTTATCATTCAGATGAATCCTCCAGGTAGCAGGCTTCAGAGATAATAGATTGTAATTGTTCCTTATTAGACTTAAGATCTGTGTTGATTTAATGTCTGAATTCCAAAAGGGAGGAGGGTATAGTGAGGCATGTCCAACCCTCCCCTTCAATCATAGCCTGAACAAGTTTTTCAGGTTAACTTTGGAATGTCCTGGGCCAAGAGGAGGGGTCCAATTAGATGGTTAGGGGGTCTTAGAATTTTATTTTTTGGTTTATATTATCATACTACTTTATGTATGTTTCATAGTTACTATTCAATATCTCCTATTTTCTCTCCTTAAACCGTCAGTTTTCTTTCCTCTTCTTACTGAGAAAATGAATGAAATTAAGCCTTGTGCAGGAGCCATAAAGAGTTAAAGAAACCAATAACTAAATTCTTGTGTTTGCAGGATAGCAATAAGAAAAGAAACAAGTTGATGAAATGCTGAAACTCCCTCTGCTTGTGAGATTAAAAAACAAAACAAAACAAACAAACAAAAAAAACTGGCTGCAATTGGTTAACCAAGATGGCCAACTGGAGTTTGTGCAGAACAAGCTTGCTGATATCACAGCTGGAATTTCTATCCCCTGTTTCATACTAAATCCTCTCAAATTGCATGAACCCATGACTTAGCATGAAGAGATAACACACTTGCCCAGGGATTTTCCAGACTTCCCCTTTTTTTTTCTACCAAATCACTCACTAATCCCAGAATCCATCCCCTATATCTTTTCTAATAAAAATACTACCATGAAGCCAGCACAAGGAGACAGATTTGAGCTTGACGCCTGTCTCTTTGTGAGTTGATTTGCAATGTAAAGCCTTTCTTTTGTTTTCTTCTAGCACATCAGGTAGGGACCATTTTACTTGATAAGAATACATAAGTAGTGTGTTGCTTTTGGTTCTACATCGATTCTGTGATAAATTAGGTATAATGTACCTTATCCTTAGAGCTGTCCTATGTGGGTAAATTGTGTGTGTTTCTAGTGCCCTTTGGACAATTTTTTTTTTTTTTTTGAGACAGCATCTTGCTCTGTCATTCAGGCTAGAGTGCAGTGGCAGAATCATAGTTCACTGTAACCTCCAACTCCTGGGCTCAGGCA